CAAGAAGCAAAACAGTGAGATTTGCTCAGTTTGGTTTGATTTGTCTTTAGCGGTAGCTTACGTTGTGAAGCTCATGTATTTTTCAGGAAGCTCGTTGATGTGGAAGTTGCCGTCTCAGCTGATGGTCGATTGGTGAAGAAAAGCGCTTCGAACGGGTCCGCTCCTGTGCACAATACGGATAGTTTTGAAGTGAGTGCGTTTGCATTTGGCTATGGCTGGTAATTTTGCGAAACTTGGTCACTTTAGGATGACGAGAAAGTATCAGCACAAGACCTCATTGATTTCACTCCTGTACATAGGTTTGTTGCTCTTAAATCTCTTCTGGTTTGAAAACGCGTATTTTGCAATTTAAGCAATAATGATCGCGTAATAGGACAGAAAAGCGGTACAAAAATTGATGTTAAGTCGATCATCGCTGTTTAAATATAGGTGCTGCCAAATTTTCAACGTGCTTGGCGCAAAAGAAGAGTTTGATGTGTTCTACCGTCAACAAAGAAAAGATCAGTGTGATTTAGTGATCGAACCTCCCGCAAAGGTCAGTCCTGTCTTTACTGTGAAGGTTGTGGTCAAGCGTAACTTCAGATGAACTCTTTGAAACATTATGTGGACTACCTGGACGAAATAATTGGATTCTTCGTCGTCGAAGATCACATTATCATAACCGAGCCCACTCTAGCCACATCTTCTCATAAGGATCAGCTTTGGGAAAATGCATTGAAGACGATAGTGCACACAATGAATACGCGTTTCGTGAGTTAATTGTTTTATATAACAACTATCCATTCGTTCTTCTTCCATTCTGATTTTCTCTATACTTTTGCAATTTCAAGAACAACTATCACTGCCTGTTTATGAACTCTCTGGAATCTTGATGGAGTGGAAGCATTTATACTTTCTTCGTGACTTAGCTAAAAACAAGGGTTGTAGGGTGGTTGTCCCGATGTTGAGATGATGCTGCGAATGAAGAAGGTTATACTCCTTTTTGCGCTGACTATGAAGTCGTATGGATATGGAATTGCTCCGCTGTACTCTCTCCTCCAAAACTTCAGGTAAACTTGATTGAGCCAGCCTGCTATACCTCTTCATCGCGGTTTTTTTTAGAGATCAGTATAACGAAATTCTAATGAGTGAATATTGTGCACAATTTGAGAGAGACCTTGATAAAGACAATTACACGCCAATAGTTGTGGAAAACGAGGAGCAGTTCAAAGCTGTTATCAAAGAATTTCCGTTCTACAAAAGGAGCATGGAGCAGGTATTTCGAACCGTCAATTTTTTTAGCTATGCTACTGCATTCTGCAAATTCTTCGAAATATTCCAGGAGCCGTTTCCACGTAAATTCCCTTACTCCCGCTTTGTAGTATCCGCTTACTCAAAAGCGAAACTATACCTCCAAGGTTGCCTGAAGTTTATGGAACATCTGCAGCTCACGAATTCGGAAATGGATGACACTGTCAGAAGGTACCACTCTTGCCTTTTTCGCTTTTTTTGGTTTTCCACTTACGAGTTGCAGGTATGCGAATGTGTTATTATCTCGTTGGTCCGGTAGTTTGAAGTCATTCGTGGAAAAGAAGCTGTCTTTAGTGCAGGTAATTGAAAATATCCGTTT